TTAATGATGCAATGATGTCTTGTATTCTTTTGTGTTGCATTTGTTTAACTCTGTGACGCTGTGTTACTTTGCCCATCTAAAATACCTGATTGGTCTAATTATGAGCTGATTGGCCAATAGCTAGGCAGGAGAGAGAAATAGGAGGAGCTGTCAGGCAGAGAGAATAAACAAGAGAAGAGAAAAGAGGAGGGAACAAAGGAGAAGGAGAGGAGGCTGCCAGGGGCCAGCCACCCAGCCACACAACCAGCCACGGAGTAAGAAGGAAAGAACAGCAAATAGAATAGAGAAAGGGAAAAGCCCAGAGGCAAAATGTAGAAGAGAAACTTGTTAGTTTAAGAGAAGCTGGCTAGAGAAAGCCAAGCTAAGGCCTGACGTTTGTAAGTAAGACTACGCCTTCGTGTATTTATTTGGGATCTGGGTGGCAGCAGGTCCCCAAAGAGTAAACAAACAAACAAACAAAAAAAAAAACAAGCTATACCAAAATTTGTTTTAAATTTTAATTATTGTGCCTAGGATATCCATGAAACAAAAGTGCCTCTAACCTGTAAGCCCCTCACTCAAGGACAAATATTTCCTGAAATGCTGGAGGCTATCATTATGTTTTTGCTACCCTAAATAAATTCATTTGACCCATCTGTACTGGGTGAGCTTGATCACATGTAGGTGGGAGGCACGTAGGCAAGAAATTTGTCAGGGCTTATGTTTGCCCTGATATGGTGTCCTTGTGGGTTTGCCTTTTTGAGCCTTTGCAAAACATGACTTGGGGCCATTTTCTGGCAGCCCAGAAACGGACCTGGTCAGAGTACATCACATACTGCCCAGTATTTGATTAGAGCTTGCTTCAGATTTGGTTCAAAATTATGGCAGTGGTCTTATTCTCACTTGGTACTTTTCACCATGTATTACATCCTTGGCAAGTTCTTTTAGACTTCCCTGTGTTCCGGCCACTTCATCTTCCCTGTATTCCCCCCAACTTCATCTTCAAATCTCCTCTCAGACATCTGATGTTATGTTTTGTAGATGAAGATGCCCAGGATTAGATACATTTAAGGCCTGTCCTATTTTATACAACTAGTGACCTTTGACCTGACCCTCTCACCCTCCCTCTGTATTCCCAGGCTCTCCCACATTCCCACACGAGTCAGACTTGCCTGCTCTCCAGCCTTCTCCTGTCTTCTCTCTAGCATGTAGAATGTTTGCTGATAATTTTGGTGGCCAAAGAAATTTAAGTATAGCATTTCTCTAAATGACAGGTCTTCAGCCCCACCTTCCTCTTTGCATCTAAAGCAGCGGTTCTCAACCTCGAGGTCATGACCCCTTTGGGGCTGAATGACTCTTTCACGGGGGTCACCTAAGACCAATCGGAAAGCACAGATATTTATGTTACTATTCATAACAGTAGCAAAATTACAGTTATGAAGTAGCAACAAAAATAATTTTGTGGTTGGGGTCACCACAACAACACGAGGAACTGTATTAAAGGGTCGCAGCATGAGGAAGGTTGAGAACCACGGCTCCCAAACATCTTTTCTGTTGCACCTTCTCCACAGTGACAACCCCTTGCCGTTCCCCGCTCCACGACCTGCCACCGACTCTGAGAGTTTCAACCCAAGAACTAGAACAGGAAGTGTTTTTAAACAGCCTGTCCCTCTCTCTAAATAATTAAAGAAGATACTATCAGGGAGATCAGGTTTTTATTAGCTCGTCTCAAGTTCACCGTCACTCCCGCTCATTCAAGGCTGGATTGAAGGTTGAGGCAGACAGCGAAGAGAGAAAAGGGCCCTCGTTTGAACAGTGTGTTGGGAGCGCGTTGCAGCCGGGCATTCACCTTCTGCCCAGACTCTTCACCAGTGGAATAAAGAATGAGCTTGACTGACGTGTTACGCTGCTTTGGAAACAAACGTAAAGGAAATGAATGAACGAAGTAATGAATGAACTAATTGTTGAGCCCTGGTAATAGTGGGTGTAATGTGGGCAGCGCAGGGCTTTGAGAACACTAGCTCCAGGCCCTTGCAGGCTGCACAGCGGCTCCACAGATGGAAAATAAGCAGCAGGGGAAAAAATGTCTAAACCGTGGAAGTGGAACACAACTTCCATTCACACATATCTTCCAAACCTCGGGCTCAGCCACACTGCCTGTGCATTGTGGGCCCCTCAGAGGAGTTACCAGGCCAGGAGCCCACCCTATACTGCGGTGTCGCCTAGCAGCACATAGGACAATAGGGAAAAAATTGGTTTCCCAGGAAGCAATTTCTCTATCAGCATCGAGGTTGTGCACTTGCAAGAGGAGAGGTTAGGCTGACCACTGGAAGGATTCCATCTGCTACCCCGAGTCCTAATTTAGATAGAAATCCTGTTTAAAAAGGACGCTATGAGATGTAATTTTTTAATGTGGAAGTGTGTTGATTTAGAGATTAATAGTCTCCAGGCAAAGGCAGCTAGCTGAAAGTGGGCCCCACCCACCCAGAGCCCTTGAGCGGACTCTTCCTGGTGTCTTCTCTTACTAAATATAAAATGAGGTCAAATGGCACATGCAGTAGGGGTTAGAAGCAAATTGAGGATCCACTAATAAATATTTATGCTGCCTAGCTCATCACGGGGCTTGTGTAGATCTTTGTTAAACTCCTGTCAGTTTGACTGCTTGCCTCGACTTAGACCAGGATGTGGTTTGCCAGAGAGGTCATTAGCTTTGCTCCTTGTCAGTTTAATATTCTGTTTCTGGAAGAAAAAAAAAAGAGAAAACCTTAGGAAATATCAGCTACTTTGCATGAAATGATACGCTCTGAAAAAAACAAAAACAATAAAAAAAAAAATCACCTCTGTAAAGTTGTCCAAAGGCCTTCTGTCTCGGTCTGCAAGAACTTGAGCCCCTCAGCTTCAGCTGGCTTCCAGTGTGGCCTCTGGTGTATAGGGGAGAGCCACACCTATTCTGTATTACACCAGGGACTGTGGGTCAGTCCAGTCCATCTGAGGGAGCACGCCTGGAACAATGGTTCCTTTTTGTCCTCTGCCCACCCACGCCTGTTGACTCAACCTTGAGACTTGAGAAAACAGAAAACATTTCTGCCCACCACCTCCTCCTCCTCCTCTGTCAAGTCACCAAGTCTCTCCTGGCTTCAGGGGCCTCAACTGTGAATGAGCAGATTGGGCTGGGTGATTTCTTGCAGTCGGGACCACTAATCCCTTTTATCTGGGGCAATGCCAGTTCTAGTCACCCCTCTCTGCCTCTGGGAATGCACCAGGGGTTGTCAGACTAATGTCCTAGTTTTGGATTCTGAAATGTCACTGTATTTATGATTGCCTTCCGCACTGGCTCTCTACACCACCAGGATCCCACTAAGTAGTAACCCTGAGTGACTGCTCTAATTATTTTCTCTATGACCTTGGGTGGTCATTCGCTCTGAGAGTTGGGCCCTTCTCTATGGGGTTAGGGATAAAAATTGAACTTGATATGACTAAAGATGTTTGATATAGTGACTAGGAACCCATCTGTTGTCAAAGGTGCCGAGAGGTGTGTGAATAAGACCTATACATTTTTGTTTGTTTGTTTGTTTTTTAATAATGCTGGGGATATTGTTCAGTGTGGAGAGCTTGCCTAGTGTGCTGGAAGCCCTAGGTTCCATTCCCAGCAGGGCTGCGGAGACAGGTTTAAAGAGGCCTAAAGACTGTTTTCCTAAGTAGATTACCAGCCCAAGGGATGGTGTCTCTGAGGACAGTGTCACGTTGCCTGGGACCATCTCCCTAGCTGCCTGCTCTGAAGAAAGGAACCCTACAGTAACTGTTAGCAAACTCTGAGACAACTTCCTGTGTAGCCCTTCCTCTGGAGAAGGCAGGGAGAATCTGACTGAGATCCTAAGAATGCCAGCTCCTTGCGCTTCTCTGCGTCAGTATTTCCACTAGCAGAGAAGCATCTAGAGATGGAGAATTCAGGATTCTGAATTTGTGGCCAGTGACAAGCTAGTATTGGAACAGTTACTCAAGCCCTTTGGATCCCATTTTTGCTTATGATGGGCTCCAAGCTTTCCTGTTTGGAGAGTTCATAGAATTTCAAGTGCTGGAGTTGAGGCAAGTGTGCTCCATCTCTCCTCTTCCAGGACTTCGGTGCAGTAGGACTTTTTCAAGGTGTGTTTTGATATACCTTAATCTGTGCCTCCATCGACGTGTCCAGTGCTTAGCTGTGCGTGCCTGGCACATGACAGGTACCTGTCTGGGATTTAGATTTCTGTTAGGTAACAATGGGGTGCTCTGTTACTGTTCCTGCTTGAGTTTTTGTTTACCTTATACCAGTCATTTTTCCTCAACTTGTCCCCCTACCAGGTTTTGGCTCTTTGGCAAAGATAAAGCAGAAAACAGGGAGCAGGGTAGAAATTCAGCTGCGGAAACTGGGAACCAGCAGCCCAGGCGAGAGGTCAAAGGAGGCAATGGAAGCTGGGGGAGATACCCCGGTTTCCAGGCTGATCCCTAGGAGTCTCTCTGGCTCTGCTTTCACCCTTGCCTCTCACATCTCCCCCCTCCCCATCCTGCAGTCTCCTTCTGGGTCATTCTCAAGGTGACTTGTCCCCGGCATCTCTTTACTTCTGCCCAGAGCCGCACTCACCAGAACAGCTCGGCTCGAAGGCATGCAAGGAGGACATCGCCCTTCTCACTGGTTCACAACATCCAGTCTGTCCCCTTTCTGTGAATTTACAAACAGTTAGGGACTGCTTCTCAAGGAAGTTTACACATAGAATGAAAACACTTGGAGAACTTTGGAAATATTTGTGGCTTCATTTCAATAATAAACAAATCTCAACTCAAAACCTGGCCTGACCTACTTTCTAGCTGGGTAACTTTGGTTCAGATCCTTAGTTTTTCCATTGGTAGGATGGGAGTGGGGAGACCAGTACCCCAACCTTTTAGGCTTTTGTAAGAATTAAATGAATTCTTAGGTTAGTCTTCATAACTATTCTCTGCTCTCTATGGTCAGACTTTAACCAACCTGTTCTGTATTTTTTTTCTAGGTGAGAGATTTCAACCGCACAACCCACTCCCGCCCCACCACTTCTTGATGCCTAATGGCCCCTATTGGCGTCGGGACCAAACTCTCTGTCTGGACTCCCTGAGGTTCTCCTTGGGTCAAGGCCTGGGAAGTGGAACTGAAGACAGGAAACCCGGGGGGCCAGTCTGTAGCATCTGGAGTGGGTTACAGTTCTGTCACTCAAGATCTGTGCTCCCTCTATGATGCTGCTGCTAATAAGCCACGGGTCCTTGGACAAGACACCAAACCCTGTCTGCTTTTCAGCTTATAAACATTTCAGAGAGAGGCTGGAGTGATAGCTCAGTGCTTACGTGCACCAGCTGCTCTTTCAGAGGACACAGTTTGATTCTCAGAACTCACACGATGGCTCACATAAGTCTACGGCCCCAGTTCTAATGAGCTACACACACCCTTTTAGACCTCGTGGGCAGCAGGTACACACGTGGTGCACACACATGCATGTGGGCAAAGTATCCACATATATTTGAAAAAATTCAAAGGTGAGGTTTCAGAGAAAGTTGAATGAGCAAATAAACCCAGCTGGTCCTTCGTATCCAGAGCTTCCATAGTCGTAGATTCAAGCAACTGTAGTTAAAATATATTTTTTATTGATGTTTTTGGTGTCTAGTCACACACTCTTCTTGTCCCAGAACTCGGGGAGAGGAAACAGAAAAATCAGGAGTTCAAGGCCATCCCAGCTCTACTACAGATGGAGGCCAGCCTGTATGGAGCTGAGTTGGAGGAACGCTTGCTTAACATGCGTGAGGCCCTTAATTTAACTCCCAGTGTTATATCAAGCAGTGCGGTAAAACGTGACTACGATTTCAGCATTTGACAAGTGGAGGCAGGTAGATCTGACGTTCAATATCATCCTTGGTTACATGGAGAGTTCAAAGTTATCCTGGGTTATATACTCTACTTAAATAAATGAACGAATAATTAAATAAGTAACTAAAACATTGCATCTGTACTGAGTATGTTTTCCCTGCCACTATTTGCTAAATGATACCATAAAACAACTCGATTTATGGCATCCTCATATTTCATCTAGAGAGAGTTTAATCTGTACAGTTGGGTTATATGCAAATGCTAAGGTAACTTACATATAGGACTTAAAATTTTGGTGCCCCAGGCTCTGGAACTAATTCCCCATGAAGGCTGAGGGACTCCTGAGAAAATGTTTAGGACAGTTCCTGTCTTTGGCTGGCACTCAACGACTTGTCTTTATTCCAAGGAAAAGCAGAGGTATACTGACCCAGATGTTGTGGTATCTCAGAGTCGGCAGAAGAGATAAACTTGGTAAAGGTAACTGAGTAGTATAAGGAATATGGTGGAGGTGTTTGGGGCTTGAGACTAGTGTAAGAGGTCAGCAGAGTGAGGAAACACCGGCTCAAGTAAGATTGACAGATGAGACGATAATCAGACATAGGGTTAAAAGAAAGCTCCCAGACAGCATTGCTAGAATGCTGGGTCCGGGGAAGCATTCTATGAAAAATACCTTTTCATCTAAATTTGGAAGCTACCACATACTGCCCCTTTTTGGAATGTTACAAGGTACCTAGATGCCCTGCAGTATAGCAGCATTGAAAATTCTGATAAGCCAGGTATTTCTGTAATAGTTTGATCAAATGACGTCTCTGCCCCGCATCTATAATACAGATGGCTCCTCTGAGAATCCGTGCTGGCTTGGACTCCCTTTGGAATCCACTGCCCTCAGGTAAACACATGGGAACTGTCTGCGGTGACTGCCGAGAGAACGAATTCTCTCAAGATAGCACACACCAAACAATATTGATATTTTCCTCTCCTCTGTTGTCTGTGGTCGGGAGCCCAAGAACTCTTGTTTAAAATTAAATGCACATTTCCCTTTGCTTGCCTGGTGTGAAGGCTGCCTCCTACCCATTTCCTTCCCTAGCAGGTTAGCCTATGCTACAAAGAGCCATCTGGATACAGTGTTGCAACATCCACTGCTTCAAGGGACCTCCTTTTGTATCGTGTCTCCCTCGCAGAGCTTTACTTTCAGGTTAAAAGAAATCAACTGAGTCCTCTAAGTAGTTTCTTTGGGGTAATATCATTATTATGGTTTTTCCCCTTCTCCGGAATCAAGGCTGTTTCAGCTCCTCAAGGACTTCTTGGCATTTCCGGGAGGTTCATTATTCTCTTGTGCTTGAAGGATGTGGCATCCTGTTTGCACTGCAAACAGCAAAATGAAATTTCCCCCTTAGGACACTCTCAGAGCCTCGGGGTCACTTCTGCCAAAGGAATCCCATCTGTCCTGGATCAGCATCCTGGCCCCGAGAGACAGGGCTGGGATGAGAAGGGAAGCAGGAGCAATGTTGACCTTCTAGGCTCATGTTTGAGTTGTCACTGTGAGTAAATACCAATAAGAGCAGCACACACAGAGCCAGCAGCAAGGAACCAGTGTTAACCATTGAGTGACATGAACCTAGACTTCACAGCACAAGCTGTCCCGGTTCTTTTGAGTCTTATCAAGACACTAAGGGGCCCTCCGAAACCCCAGTTCTCTTACCTCTCGTTGCTGAGAAACCCTGAGTGACTGAGCACATACCAGCAACATGTCAGGGCTTGGTTACGATAAAAGCTCTGCCCTTCTTAGTCCTGGACCTTCAAACATGACCTGTTCATGCCTGCCTTGGCAGAATGGGGTCATTAGTGTTCAGAAAGGAGAGCTTGGGAGTCACACACACAGAAAAGTGCCCCTACTTGCTTTGAATATGGTCTAATACTAGCTTGGTGCACATAGGTCTGTTTCTCCATCTAGATGAGTCTCACAGCAGTACCAACGGTTTTTTTGTTTGTTTGTTTTAGTTTGTTTTGTTTTGTTTTGTTGGTTTTTCAAGACAGGGTTTCTCTGTATAACAGCCCTAGCCATCCTGGAACTAGCTTTATAGACCAGGCTGGCCTCCAACTCACAGTGATCTGCCTGCCTCTGCTTCCTGAGGGTTGGGATTAAAGGCGTGCGCCACCATCACCCAACAGCACCAACATTTTTAAAAACAGTCTATCAGGCCGCTCAGAACTGACTGCACTAAGAGGCTTCCATCGTCTTCTTTCCTTAAGATCCTTCTTCCAAGCCAGGTGTGATGGGGCACACCTATAATCCCAGCACTGAGGCAGGAGCATCATGATTTTGTGGTCAGTTGGGCTAAATTAAAAGACCGTCTTAAAACAAACAACCAAAACCCACCTCCAGCTCTTGGTTACATAAGAAGGCTCTTCCCCAGGAGACAGAGACTTAACTTGGGAATTTAGACTGGTGGAGTTGGTGCTGAAGATTTTGAGTGCATAAAAAGCAAGTTTGCAGCCAGTGAAGTGGCTCAACAGGTAAAAGTGCTTGTCCCACATGTGTGACAGTCAGTATTTGATCCCTGGCATCCCACAGTGGAAACGGGAAAACTTACTCTTGAAAGTCCTCTGCCACAAGCACTATGTGGCACACTCATGCCCGTACTCACGTGTGTGCACACACACACTCCACAAAAACAAAAACAAAAAATGTGTAGTTAATTTGGTTGGGTGGTGAGCTAGTGAAAGAATCTACCCACACTATCGTTGCTATTACCAGCGTTTCCTTTCTAACTAAGAGCATCCCGTATCATCTTTGTGTCTCCGGAACCCAGGCTAGAGTGTGACCAGAGAAGCTGTTCCTTTATGGGGCTGGGAACATGGCTCAGGTTAACAGCATTTGCTGCATCAGTATGAAGGCTGAGTGCAGATCCTCAAACATTAGTCAGCAGGGGCTGTACTTGTGCCTGTAACCCCAGTGCTGTGGTGGGCAGAGACAGGAGGATCACTGGGACTCTTTGGTTGCTAGCCTAGCTCCACGTTCAGGAGGGGCCCTACCTCCAGGGGAAAGGGTGGAAAATGATACCTGACATGCTTTTACGGTCTCAGTGCAGTCATACATCCACACACATATACTATACACACACACACACACACTCACTCACACATCCACACACATATCCTATACACATGCACAAACTCACACACCCACACACATATACTATATACACGCACATCCACATCCACACACATATACTATACACATGCACACACTCACACATTCACACACATACTATACACACACACATCCACATCCATGCACATATACTATATACTTGCCCACAAACACACTCACACTTTTAAAAAAAATGTTCAGTTCACATACATAACAACATCCATGCAGGCAGCTGGAGCCATAAAGATCTGAGTGGCCTGTGTTGCCACCCAAGACCATGTTGTCATCCAGGCCTCATAGCAGCCAGGGTCTGGGTTGATGTCTGAAGCTCCTGTTTCCACTGAGGGTTGTGTGGATGCCTGGGGTCAGGTCAGTCACCTGAATCCATGTTGGTGTTCAAGGGCCATGCTGTATCCGGGTGCACACAGATCTGAGTGGCATGTGCCGTACTCGATGTCATAGTGAAGTCTAGGTTAGAGCTGCAGCTGGGGGCCATGTCTGGGTCTGTGGCCATAATGCAGTCAGGATCTGTGTTGATGTCCTAGGTTACTGTTATTCTTGAAAGCCATACAGATGCCCAAGTGTGTCTGAGGGCCACACTGCCCCTGGGGCTGTGCAGATCTGCGTGACTTGCACTGCCACCAGATCTGGCTACTGCTGAGGACCATGTCTGGGTCTGTAATCCTACTGCAGCCGGAGTGTTAAAGTCCAAGGCCTGCACTACCACCAAAGGTCACATGGAAGCCTGGGTTTGGGACCTCAGCCTGTGGACTTGTTGATGTCTAGGGACTGCACCATTCCACTGCCAGAGCCATCCTGATCTGAGTGGCTGGTGCTTCCACACAGAGCCAGAATGTGGTCCAGGTCGAAGCTACTGCCAAGGGCCATGTCTGGGTCCATGGTCTTGCTGCAGTTGGGGTCTGTGTTGATGCCTGTGGCCTGTATCACCACAGGGGGCCATAGGAACCATTTGTGATGAAATCAGAGGGCCATGCTGAGCCACCTCACTGGCCCTGCCCCTCTCTGCACACTGCAACAAGAAACCTGGCACCTGAACTCAGGAGGGATGGCCCCACCCTTCACCACAGCAGAGGAGAACTGACCATGACGGATGGATGTAGGAGAGTTGACTCTACCCCCTTACCTTTGTGGGGTGGCACCAATGGCCTTGACTGACAATCTCAGCTACCACCCAGGCCCTCTGCAGGGTTTTGGGTTGGCCCACCCTAACATCTGTCCCATCTGTTACCTGCTGGAGTGTGTGAAGGGACTGGTCCTGTGGAATGATACCTGCAGGAGCTCCACGACTTGGGGAGACAGCAGAATATCCCAGAGGAGTTTCAGTGAGGCTGTGGTGAAGATGGTGTACCATAAACCAGAGACCTTAGACCAGACCAATGCCTCATTGCAATGAACATTTGCTGGTAAAACTGACTAGACAAAAGGGTGTACCGTGTGACACACCACTTCCAATGCCACCAGGATGAATGAAGAGGCATTGGAAAAGCGGGAAAGAAGGAGAAGCAAAGAGGTTTTTGCTTGTATTTTTTTTTGTTTGTTTGTTTATTTTCTAGCTTGTTTTGATTTGATTTTTTTAGAATTTTCTTTTTTTGGTGAGGGGAGGTATAGGGGGATTGGGAGGTGAGCAGAATTGGGGCACATGATGTGAAGTTCCCAAGAATCAATAAAGAAATTATGTTAATGCTAAATAAAAAAAATACATGCAGGCAAACCATTCATACAAATAAAACAGAAATAAACAAATCTTCCTCCCCACAAATGCAAAGTAGGAGGAGGAAGTGTTCGATGGATGATTGTTGACAAATCTCCTCCTTTGAAGACGGTTTCTTCAGCTGCCCAGTGAGTTTCTGTTTGATCGTGTTTAGTCAGATGTGGGTTCTCAACTCAAGGACTACTCCATCCCTTGAAGAGAAACTTCTG